TACTCAATTCCAATATGATTAAATAAGCCAAACTGTACTTTTAAGAGAGTTTGTTCGACAAAAAAGATTACTAGGCCCGTTCAAAGAAATTTGGCTTAGTTTGACAATTGAAGACTTTCTGAAAATACTAGCTCCTATAAGCTTTTAACAAACTAGCGAAGTGTTTTTTACTATGAATCGGAGTCGAGCACTTTTAGTCTTTTGTACATTTTTGTGGATTTTATCTCTGACAGCATCTGGAGTGGCCAAGGTCGGTGATTGATTAAGGCTGTTGATAGAGATGTTGAATTGACCACCTTAAATAACAGCGCCTGTTAAGAGCGACATTGCTTGCTGGCCATGTTGATAATCTGCGGGCCGAACTAGCTGGATGAACTGTGGTCGAAAAAAAGTTCACAAACTTGAGATACGTTCGGTTTCTCTCCATCATGCGCTCTCCCTGTACTTATTTCAAACAAACTTTGGGACATTTTTACTTGCTGGTTTTCAGGCAAGCAAGGAACGTTCCAAACATTCACTCTCAATTATTTCGCATGGCCGTCCCGAAAGGCGGGAAAAACCGACACGATTTTTCTCTTTTGTGAATAAAATCGCGTATCAGGCTTCTGATCGATCATGCGGTAATTTTCACAAGTTACAAAAATCGTATGACCAATGGAATTGTTCCTCATCAAAGAGAGACGATTTTTATTTAGCGGGTTTGAACTGAGTAAATCTCAGTACTTATACAACAATTATCACGAACTAATATTTTTAGTTTACAGCAGCTAGTAAAATAATACTTTCTTTTATATAGATAAATTTAAAATTACAACACTTTTTCCTCCTATTTAGATCCATCAACTGGGCCTTAATGACGAGCACCTGCTCGCAGGCCATCATGTTTGTAACCAGTGAGAAGAAATTCCCGGTAATTTTGTCCAAGAAGTGAATTTATTAAACGTCGGACAAAGTTGAAGACGACAGGGCCACACTTCCTCGGTTCTATCGACAAGCCTCCGACCAGTCGATTGTCGCCTATTTCGATAATAAGCAGGCTTCGTGGATGAGCATCGAGCATAATCCGCGCTTCGGAATACTCTTCTGGAAGCTTGGCCTAAATATCATTGAGAAGTAATCGCAAGTAGCCTCGCGCAAATAATTTCACAAATATACCAAAGTCCCACAATGATAATCATGATAATCCTTATAATCTTTATTAGTTCCACAGTGCGTAGTGTATGCTATTACAAACGCTACGCACTGAGGAATATTCGTCTTTTCCTCCTCCCTCTCTGATAAAGGTGGATTTGCAGTGTCACGTGAGTTTTTCCGTACGTTAAACGTGCGTAAAGCGCGTCAGCAATTTCCACTGCCGCGTTAAAATCAATATGTTTAACTTTTCTCTGAATTCTTGCGATTGCAGACGTGCGTAAAATTGTTTTCAGGATTTTTTTGTAAAATTGCTTTTTGTTTTTTGTAATTGTTTTTTCAACGTACGCTGACTTGCCCTAAAAGAAAGACCAGCACAAGGAACGACAGCAGGAGTATTCTGCATGAGCGACAAGAATAAAACTGATGCTAAAGAAGATCCCCAATTTCAGCGCTCTGCTCAATTTTGAGTTTACCCCTGGCGGACTTTGTATGTGGAAGGCTCTTATATTTGGAGCTGGTAAGCTGATTGCATGGAATGACATGATACTTTGTCCATAAGAAGCTACTTGCCTCAGCGAGGAAAACCGTTTTTCGCAATCTCAGCACGAGAGATGGATAAGACGACCTCTTACCATGAGAGAGTTGATGATGTCAGTGGCACCTTCGAATGTCAAAGGAATTCCTTAGTCGTGCAGAGCTGGAAACTCACTTCTTTATATCTAACAGGAATGTCGGCATGCTAG